AAGTCCTCATACAATGGACCTCCCCTCAAAAAGTTTAAAACCAATCTTATACCCGACTCACATTGGTTTGATTATTGTCCCTCGGAAAAAAATGAAGCCAAGAAAAAGTCGACGCTCGCATCAAAAGGTTTGACCTCTAGGAGACAACTCGCTAATGGTGCCTCTCATATCCAACCACAAAAACCTTCAACCTCTGCCACTTCAACCAAGCCTGTGTCCGATTTGGGAAGCAACCTTTTGCTTGAGGCGTCAGTTGATCAATCAAAGAAGACCTCGGTTGCCACAACTGGAAGTGCTCTAGGTTCCGGAAGCAATGTCACATTTGGCGACCAGGCGAGAAAAAAGCCTGCAACTCCTATCACATCAACGGAACTCGCGGCAGGCTCTGGAAGCAAGTTTTCATTTGGGTCACTTGATGATCGAGCAAAAAATCCTTCAACTTCTATAGCTTCGACTGAACTCGCGCTCAATTCTGGAAGCAAGTTTTCATTTGGGACACCCGATGATCGAACGAAAAAGCCTTCGACTTCTATTGTTCCGACCGAACTCGCGTCCGATTCTGGAAGCAAATTTTCATCTGGGACACCCGATGATCAAACGAAGAAGCCTTCAACTTCTACCGCTTTGAAGGAACTCGCGCTCGGTTCTGGAAGCAAGTTTTCATTTGGGACATCTGGCGGTCCAATGGAAAAGTCTTCAGCCTCTGTTGCATCAACGGAACCCACGCCTAATTTTGGAAATAAGTTTTCGTTTGGGACGCCTGGTAATCAAACAAATTTTGGAAACAAGTTTTCATTTAAACCCGAGGATCAAACAAAAAATCTTTCAACCCTTACCGCTTCAACAGAACTTGCGTCCGACCTGGAAAGCAAAATTTCACCTGGAACACCTGATGGCCAAATAAAAAAGCCTTTGGTTCCAGTCACTTCGGCAGAACCTGCGTCAAATTTGGAAAATAAATTTTCATTTGGCGATCCAGCAAAAAATAAATTGAATTTTGATGCTAAGACCAAACCTGTATTTAGC